GGAGGGGGGGCAGCGGGGCCTGGGCTCCCGGAGTCTGCGGCGTGGGCTGAGCGTCCAGACTGCGAACATTTCAGCCTCGGGCGGCGCCCCCGCAGGAATTGCGAACTCACTTGGCGAGCCTCAGGGAGAGAGCCTTTTGGGGAGGAGAGAGTATTTGTTTGCCCCTGCATCTCCCGCCACTGGACTCAGGGGGGCCGGGCAGCTAATGAATGACCTGCCAACCTCGGGGTTCGCGAGTGCTGCGCCCCTGAGATCTAGAAATCAGCTCACCGGTACTGCCAGCAGTGAGTACAGACGCCCCCCAGGGCTCGGGCCTCTGATTCAGGCCTTGCCTGGTGCTCTGGGCTTCGTCCCACTCTCTGACGGAGGTCAATTTCGCTAGGCGGGAGAAAGTCCTGAGCGGCTGCTGGTACCGCGGGGTGTGGGTACCCCCCCTCGAAACTACTCTGGAAGTGCCGGGAAGAGTCTAGGCTCAGCTAGTCTCAAGAGTGAGGTTCCACCAGAAACCCAGGAAGGTCAAGGCACGGCCTGCCTCCCAGCGTCCTTCCGCGGTTCCGATGGTCCGAGGTCCGACAGCCAGAGCCGCGCTGTCATCACCCGCCCGAAGCGAAAAGGGTGGCCCGTGAGTGCCAACCTTTTAAAGCTAACTTTCCTCTGTACCTCTGAGGCCTGTTCAGGCCCCGGCCCTAGGCTCCTGTTGAGAAATCTAGCTGCTGTCTTGTCCCAGGGAAGCCTGGCGGCTTCTGACAGGTCCGCTTTAGGTGCGTTTAGAACCCTGAGCGACCCTCGTGGGACGCAGGCTCGGTACACCTCGTCTGTAGAGGCGCATTTAACTGATAATGTATCGGAGGCGCTGACAATTCTGTTCCGGCTATTCAAGGAGAGGAAACCCGGACCGGATTCCTCCACTCAAACCTTTTACTTACACCATTACCACTGAGTTCTTTCGGGCGTGGATGGCCCAACTTCAGATTAGTGGGTCTCGGCAAACCTCCTGGATGTCATCGGGGTACTCGGGGTGGCGCCGGCCCGCTTTGGAGGGAACGGGGCAGACCTGCATCCAGGATTGGATCTCAGGGCCTAGGTGAGTTGCTGGCCGAGTCTGGAGATTCCTTTCCGGAGCAGCGAGTCTTCCCAAACGGGGTGGCCAGGTCAAACTCGTGCGCGCGCGTGCGGCCAGACTGGGCCTGAGACCGGCAAGAAGCCGAGTGTTAAGATGCAGCCGCCTAAGAAAGTGGAGTTGTGTGATGGATTTCTGAGGTCAGAGAGTGAGGAGCGCCCCCAGAGCAGGCCCGGCCCAGGTGGGCCAGTGGGGACCAGGTGAGTCTATTATGCACGCATGCGGAAAAGAAAAAGACAAGAACGTTACAGAGGTGGCCAAAGAAATCCCCCGTATCAGTCTCACCTCGCAGAGACCCCCCAAGGACAGACTGGGCCAACTGTGTGCGTGGGACGTGGGGATTGTTGGAGCTCAGGCTCCGGGTGTGAGCACGTCTGCTTTGAAAAGGAATGGCCCGGTATGTTCTGGGGCCAAGCAGGGGTCTCAGGAAAGGAAATGAGGCGCGCAGGCCTAGGTGCGGCCCCGCACTGCGAAACGCGAGCCCTGAAGCGCAGGCCGCTGGGCCTTGCTTCCAGGCGCGCTCAATCGTTCCAGATCACCAGGGCCCCCACTGACCCTCACCCGCCCCATCTCTGGCCGAGGTAATGGGGGTGAGGAAAACACAGGTCGCTAATGAACTCCATCCTTCCCAACGCGGTCCCTGCTCTCAGGCGGGGTCTTCTGCATCCCTCCCTCGACCCCGCTTCTTAGCCAGACTGGAGAGGGAGAGACAAACATAGAGAGAATTAGTTGTTTGTAAACAATAAATAATGGAAAGTCATAAGATGTTCTGCCAAAGCCTCAGCGAAAGCGGGAAAACTGGATGGATTAGGAGGAGGGAGACTGGAGGAGGGGGAGCAGGAGTCGGAAGAGAGAGAGAGCGACACTGAGATTCATTTCCACCCGAGAAGCCCCGGTGGCTAGTTTCTTATTATTTACAGGAAGGTGATCTTAGCAATTCAGGTGAGAAAGAAAGAAACACGGCCGCAACGAAATCAATACAGAATTCAAAAACAATTATTAATGTCATTTGACTCGTGTTCTTTATATATCTCTCCCGGCTACGGACGCTAAACTGTCTGAATAATTTGCATGGATCGGCTATTCATTATTTCCGATAGTTTCCTTTTGCAAGCAGTTCGGACGTAGCCGGCTGCGGTCCAGCGGGATGGAGAACTCGTATTTTCATCTGTAAATTAAAGCAATTACGCAGCAGATATTCTATGATGTGTACTGTGCTCTCCAGATAGTCATCAATCACCTTCAACCGAGCTGTCAGCGCGGGCAGGTTTCGTTTCTGGGAGGCAAGCTTGCAGCTGGGGAGAGGGCGAGAACGTCATCATTAATTAGAGGGTGACCCTGGGGCGATTCACAGGTCTGAACCCAGGAATCTTTCCGAGCAAGTCTGCACAGCGCCGTACGGGGCTCCCCTCCCGGCGGACCGCGGGAGCCTAGCGGGGCGAGAGCTGCAGGGGCTAGCCCGGGCCCCCTGAGGGCGGGGGCTCCAGAGTTGGAACCAGTCTGAGGCGGTCTGGGCGCCCCTTTGCTGGCCTGAGCTCCAGTCACGGATTTGGATTCGGGCGAGGTTCCCGCTGAGGCCGCTGGGGGGTGCGCACCTGGCCCCCCTCTCCCGGCTGCGCCAGGCCCAGAGAAGTGTACCACGGAAGGCGGGGGGTGCATTTCAGCCCTTCTGGGGCACCCAGCCCCAGGTTGCTGAGAGGAGCAGGCGGAGCCCAAGTCTAGATGGGAAGTAGGCTCTTGGGAGCGCATTGGGGCCTCTAGCAATCCCTGTTTTGGCCGCGTGGGGCAGGGGACGGCGAAGGAGGGCAATCAACCAAGGAGGGGGGAGGGGAAAGTGGAAGGCCTGGGGCTGTGAGCCGAGGTGGAACAGAAAGGACCAGGTGGGGGCGTTCCCTGGGGAGACTAGGCAACCTAGAGTGGCAGAGCTAGCGTCCAACGGCCTGGAGAGACCCCGGAACACCTAGGTCACTGACCCCAGGTGTAGCAACCTCTGGGGATGGCTCCGAACGCATTTTGACCTCTCTTAGGATCGCATTTGGTTCTGGGAATCAAAGCTAGTGTAGGGTTCAAACGCTTAGGAAAGTGTCCCGTGATGCCTAAGGGAGGCGTTACTGAGGTCTCGGTTAGATAATAGCGACCGTGGGCAGACCCAGGCGCACCGTCTTCCTGCTCCGTGTGCCGGGTCTCGTGAACGCCCCTCCTTCCGAAAGGAAGAGAAATTCGCTGGGAGCCGAGGTCGGCTGGCTGGCTGGCTGCCTTGAGTGCGGGGCTAATTTTAACTGTTGATTACATCTTAAATGAAGACTCACTCGTGTGTCCCTTCATACGTCTCATTTGTAATTGAGACTAATGATTACAGTGGGGTGGGAAGGAGCAGCTGCTCATTAATTAATTTCTAATTAAAAGTGCCTCCCATCCTCTGGTGACTAAGGAGAAAACACCGTTCGTCGGGGCAATATTGATTCCTGGGATGGAATTCATTTGTTAAAGCCCCGTTGGCCTCTCTGCACGCCTCTCGCGCCCTGCCCTGTCCCCGCCCTGCCTGGGCCAGGCCAACTCCTGGCCCGCGGGCCCAGTGACCCGCGCCTCTGCGGTCGGTCTGGCTGCGCGGCGTGGGACTGACGTCAGAGCCTCCGCCGCTTAAAGCCGCGCACATCAGACTTGACGGCTTTGCGCGTCTCCTTGATTTTTTTTCTCCTATTTTTGCAAAATATGTATTTGTGTCACCACAGAGAGGCCGGTTGGTCCCAAAGCCCCCTTGAGGCTCTAGATTGCGAGGCAAAAAGAATCGCTGCGGCCACCGAGGCTCACTTGCTTACACGGTTAAAAAAGTTTGCAGCTCGCGTGGAGGAATTAACCCAGGGTTCGGTTTCGCCCTCGCAGCGCCTAGGAGTCGGTGGCCCGGGAGCAGTGGCCGCGCCACGCCGGCGTCCGCGCCCAGGACCCAGCCGGCCCCGCCCTCAGGCCCCGGGTCAAGCCCGCCATGTCCTACCCGCAGTTCGGATACCCCTACTCCTCGGCTCCCCAGGTAAGGGGGCCCCCTCGAGAGGTCAGAGGCACAGGCATGCGCTTCCCTGGGAACAGTGTCCGCGCCCCACGCGTGACCAGGGGCTCCGAGACTGAACTCCGGGGACTCTAGGGACCCTGGTAAATACTTGTAACAAGGAGAGACGGTGCTCTCTGGACGTGCCTTGGAAATCTCTCTCGAGTGGGGCGGTGGGCTGAGCATTCCTGGCTCCTGGCAAGCTGAATCCCAAGTGACTGAAAAGGTCAGACCCGCACAAAGACTCGCGGGAGGGATGGGGAAAAAGTTGTGCGATCAGCCTTGGACGGCTGGAGGCCTGGAGGTGGGGGGCACAGCACCTTTCGTGCACGAGTGTGGGGCCCATCCAGGTGGGGGGCCTCCAAGACGCCCTGCCTTCCTCGCTGCCTCTCTCTCTCCACAGTTCCTGATGACCACGAACTCCCTGAGCGCGTGCTGCGAATCTGGCAGCCGCACGCTGGCCGAGTCCGGGCCAGCAGCATCGGCCCAGGCGCCTGTCTACTGCCCGGTCTACGAGAGCCGGCTGCTGGCCACCGCGCGCCACGAACTCAACTCGGCCGCGGCGCTCGGCGTCTACGGAGGCCCCTATGGCAGTTCGCAAGGCTATGGCAACTACGTAACCTATGGCTCTGAGGCGTCTGCCTTCTACTCACTGGTAAGATGGGGGACTCGCCACACCTCTCCCTGCCCCACCTTTGCCCCTCGATTTGCAAACCCACCATCACTGCGTTCGGGAGGCGGTGGCACAAGTACTCAGGACTCCCAGACTAAAGGGTGAACAGAGCACAGCTTTGCGCCCCCTAGTCTGGTCCCTGACGGTATGGCGCCCAATTGAATGTATTTGCTGTTTCCGGTTCTAGTAAGTTCTAACCAGATCTCGAGCATTGTGAGCCTGGCCCTTGCTCTCCTTCCCTCTCTCCAGTCCCAATCCACCCCTCTGGGTCATCCTCTTCCTCCTCTTCCAATCGCTCTCCGATTTACCCTCCTAGCCCTCTTTCCCGCCTCCCCTCCCAAAGTCTCGCCTTTTCTCTTCCCCCTCCTGCTCACCCCCTAGCTCCTCCCCATTTCTCTCCTCCCCCCTCCTCTCCCTATTGCCCTTCCCTCACTACCCTTCCTTTCCTGCTGTCAATCTGCCTTTCCTTCTATCCCCTCCCCAATCGCCCCCCGTGGATTACCCTCTGCTCTGCCCCATCTTCTTTCTTCCTCCGGGTTCCCCTCACTCTCCTCAGTCTCCGATCCTTATTTTCCCCCTCCCCCTATTTCATTCTCCCTCCTCTTTCCCCCATTTCGCATTCACCTCCATCCTTTTGCCTTCCAGCCCCATTCCCCTCCAGCACCATGCACTTTCTTCCCACGTTTCAGAGACCTGGTTGAGAAGCGACGAGAAGTGGGTGCCTTCGCTGCCTGCGCCTGAGGGGCAATGTGGGGGCCGCAGGGGGAGGGCTGTGGAGCTCCCAGGGGGTCCGCGCGAAGTGCGGAGGCGAAGGGGCCCAAAGGCTGGGTCACGTCTCAGGAAGCTGGGCCTCCCCGACTTGTCCTTTCCTACAGAACAGCTTCGACTCCAAGGATGGGACGGGGTCTGCGCATGCGGGCCTAGCACCCGCTGCTGCCGCTGCGGCCTACTACCCCTATGAGCCGGCGTTGGGCCAGTACCCCTATGACAGGTGAGAGGCCAGGAACCCCCACACTGGCCCCGCCCTAAGGCCCCCTCCTCAAGTGTCCGCTGCCATTTAACTAACCCCACAGTGTCCTCGCACCTGTTCTTCAGGGAGGGTGGGGAGGCCAGATGAGGAAGACTTTCCTGGGGTCAGCTAACAGTGTGGACAGACCTGCCCCGCTCCCTCGGTGCCTGTGCCAACCCGGGGTCCCTAACCTATCGGTACCCCGAAGTCCTTGCTAGGACTGTATTTGTTGAGGAGTTGACTCTGACAAGCCCCACCCATTCAGGGATGCTTCCTCCAGGGGCTTCCAATGCTAACAAACCAGAAATGCAGCTCTGGCCAAGCACCCCCTCCCCGCAACCTCCCGCAACTCCTCTAGGGAACGCCCCAGCTTTCGCCAGGCAATGATTAAACATTTTACAAGAAAAAGGCCACTAAGCCTTGGATGGATTTCACCCCATGGGTGCTAATGATCCTCTCTGCCTATGGGATGCGGTTTCGCATCTCTGCGTTTTGTTTTCACGGGGTTGGAATCAAAACGGATAGGATCCGCCTGTTGAAGGAACTCCAGGCAAAACAGGCCCATGTAGAAAGACGGAGACCCTCATTCCCTCCCCTGGAAGGACCAGGGAGTAATGTAAGTTCAATATAAACATGGGCTTTGCCCATGGGCCACAAAGGGCAATGTCTGCAGTGGGAATCCTGGCTGGGCCCTACGCCCACCGGGGATGAGCGCTGCTGTCTGCTGCCGGCCATACATGCAACCCCACGCTGGGGAAGTGAGGCCCGTCTCCCTCGCCCTCTGTCCTGGTGGTTTGGGGGCTCATTGTGGAGCGTGTCTTCAGGTATGGAACCATGGACAGCGGTACGCGGCGGAAGAACGCCACGCGCGAGACCACCAGCACGCTCAAGGCCTGGCTGCAGGAACACCGCAAGAACCCCTACCCCACCAAAGGCGAGAAGATCATGCTGGCCATCATCACCAAGATGACCCTCACGCAGGTCTCCACCTGGTTCGCCAACGCGCGCCGGCGTCTCAAGAAGGAGAACAAGATGACTTGGCCGCCTCGGAACAAGTGCGCGGATGAAAAGCGGCCCTACGGAGAGGGCGAGGACGATGAGGGCGAGGAGGAGGGGCGAGAGGAGCCTCTCAAAAGCACCAAGAACGAAGGTAGGTTGGGAGGCCTCACTGCTGGGACAGAGGCACTGGAACGGAAGTCCCTGGCTTCAAGGCCCCTAAGTTGGACAAGGGGAAAACTCAAAGGCTGGAGGGTCTAGGGTAGCAAATGCAGAAAGCACTGTGCGAGGCACTGTGCTTGTTGGGTAGTGACTGTGAACGTGCTTAAAGAAATTCAAAATCACGCTTAAAAACAGGAGATTTTCTTGTCCCAGTAATTTGTGACCGGAATTAGCTAGCCGTTTCTTTCAGTTTTCGACCTAGGAGGCTCTGGAGGAGGTGGGAGGTATGAAGACATGCCTTGAGTGTCTCTACTAACCTCAGTATCAAACATCTAAGGTTGGAGTTAGGGAGAAGGGGGACCTAACCCTTCTGATGAACTTCTCTGATTAACCCATCTGCCTCTCTCCCTCCCACGGTTACCATCCTCTTGGGGCAGAGGCCATTAGCAAAGAGAAGCAGCTAGAACTCAGTGACTTGGAGGACTTTGACCCCCTGGAGACGGAGACCCCCGAATGCGAGCTGAAGCCACCCTTCCAGACTTTGGACAGCGGCCTGGAGCGCGTCCCCGCGACCCCCGACGGCCCTGGTGCCCCAGGCAAGGAGGCCTCCAGCGTCCTCCGGATGCCAATGGCCGCTGGTGCCAGAGCTGGCCTGGACGAGGACCTGGAGAGGGCTCGGAGCTGCCTCCGAAGCGGGGTAGCGGGGCCCGAGCAGCAGCCAGGCACGGGGGGCGGCCCGCAGACCTGCGAGGCCAAACTAGGCTTCGTGCCCCCCGGAGTGACAGCGGGTCTGGAGGCCAAGCCGCGCATCTGGTCCCTGGCACACACTGCCACCGCTGCCGCGACCACTGTCCTGAGTCAGACTGAGTTTCCGTCGTGCATGCTAAAGCGCCAAGGCCCCACCGCCCCCGCAACCTCGTCATCAGTACCCTCCACGTCCTCGCCGGCGGCCCCTGCCCCCGCCCCGCCTGGGGCCCTGGACCGGCATCAGGACTCCCCGGTCACCAGTCTCAGAAACTGGGTGGACGGGGTCTTCCACGACCCTATCCTCAGGCACAGCACTTTGAACCAGGCCTGGGCCACCGCCAAGGGAGCCCTCCTGGATTCGGGACCGCTGGGACGCTCGCTGGGGGCGGGCACCAACGTGCTGACGGCGCCCCTGGCTCGCGCCTTCGCACCCACTACTCCTCAAGACGCCCAGACTGCGGGTGTGGCCAAGGAGCTGCTTGCTTTGCCCAAGGCCGGCGGCAAGCCCTTCTGCGCCTAACGCGGGCGGGGCTCTGCGGATCCTGAAGAGTGGACACGGACCGCGATCGTGAACCGCACAGACTCTTTTTCTACAAGTAAGCAGAGGACGGTCAAAACATGCGGCAACACTAGGGCTGCCAACCCATCGCAGACAGAGAATCTGAAGTCAGCCTCCAGAGACCGAAGACAAACCCTGTGCACTAGGGCGCCCAGGTTCTCGCACCCCGCCAGCCCTGAACTATGACCAGAGCAGTAGCGCTGCGCTCGGAGCTGGTGGGAGGCCTCCCGAAGCATCACGTTTATGTCCTGAAGTTTACAAGAAGACGTTTCTGCTCTGAGGCTCTGTTTTGTGTTGCTCCTTCCTTTTGGATTTGAGGCATGCAGATATTCTTTCCGGAGACTCCTCGGCCTGTGTACCCTCTAATTTCATCTTTAGCACATACTTCTCACCAACAGCACTTCCACCGAGTTTACACTATTGCACACCTTTGACTCGATTTAACAAAAAACAATTTTGTAATGTATGTTCACCCAGTAATTATAACAAAACCAATAAAACCCAGTGATGGTGTTTGCATTGCAAAATGAACACGTTTTCAAACCTGAGGATTTGAGAACTTGAAGGAGGGGGTTCTAATCTCTCCAGGGTGGGGGGCAGGGGTATTGACCAAGACTCCGCCTTAATAAAATCGCTTGCCAAACCCAAGCCTTTAAATCCAGTTTTTGAAGAACAGCTTTGAGGAATCTATTACGTCTTAATAGAAATGAATGAGATACTCACAGCTTTTAATTGCTGCTTTGTTACCAGACTCGAATATTTCGTTAAAATCGGGGTTCTTAGAGCAGATTAATACAACTTCTTAAACTTTCTAAATTCGCTGGGATTGTTTCCTGGTGGGACAGGGGTTTGGGGATAAATTAGTGTCCTGAAATCTTTTGGTCCATCCTACATAGGAACCAGGGGACCTCCGACATTTCCTCCCAGGCTCCTGACCTCGCCCCCGCCCCCACACTCTACCATGTTTCTCTCTCTTCCCCCACGCCTACCCCACCTCCCCAGTACTGGCAGACAGGCAGGCCGACAACCCTACAACTGACGTGTTCCGTGGGAAATTAGACTGCAGGCTGCCGGTGGGGACCAGTTTGGAGAAAGGACTCGCCATATCTGAGGACAGAGCTGTCTTGGACCAGGAAGGTGCACGACAGCGGTTTCGCTCGGAAGTCCGGTTCCCCACCCTAGGCCCAGTCCCCCCAGGGCACTCCTCTGGATAGAGTTCGCTGGCGACCAGCTGCTCTGGTCTGGCGAACAGTAGCTGGCTCTCTCCCCGAGGATGTCTCCTTGTTTTCAGCACGCACCCGCCAGGGTTGGAGGTTCCTGGGGTGGGGGTGGGGGGAGGTATCCGGCGAAACCGGAGCACACTGGACTCTGGCCACGTCCCTCCTTCAAACCCACTGATTGGCCTCATCAAAGTCCCAGGTGTCCCGAGGAGGGACCTTTCAAGTCATCCAGCCTGGGGGAGTGGGGACGGAAGGGTGTGGCAGCCAGGCGACAGCAGCCTTCGCCAGGGTTCAGAGATTGACAGCTGGGGATGGATGCTGGTCCGCCCCGCAGGACCGACGTCCTTCTGAGCTCCTTGGGTTGGGTGGGACAGGCTGGGCCCTGCCCGGTTACCGGCCCCAGGAACCAGGCCCAGAGAGCAGTGCATTCTGTACAGAGGGCCTGGCCTGACTGCGAGGCGGGCATTGGTGCCTGGATCCGCACCCAGGAAGCCTGGGGCCGGCTGGGCGCCCCGAGCAGCGGGACCTGGCCGCAAGTGAGCTCGAGCCCTGCCCTCGCCGGCCGAGCGGTAATTGGATTGTATCCGCCCGCGCGCTGTCAACGTATTGACTTTCGCTCTCTTGGATGATATTATCGAGATCCGGAAGCTCCCCGCTGATGTGCCTGTCAAAAGGCTGCGGCGGAGCCCCCGGCCTGGAGAGCGAGCATCAGCCAAGATAATTTGAAGTGAAATTTTCATTTTGACAGTAAACCCCTCAATTTCTAAAGGCTCCGCGCTCCGAGAGCTCGCTGGCAGGGGGAGGCTTTGCAGAAAGCCCACGTCTTAGACTGAAAAGGGCAAAAGAACTCGAATTAGTTGTAATAGATAAAAGGGCAAAAATAAAGAGTCAAGGGTACTTGACAGTAATAGCGAAAGTGGAGTCTCCGGGGAGACGAGCTGCGGCCGAGGCGGGGGGCGCCAGGAATGTTAATGCGGCCTAGGGCGGGCTCCCAGCGCCCCCACCCAAACCCAAGACAAAGCCGGGCATCTTCGCTACAATCAGCCTTGGGGATGCAGGAAGCGCGGGGGTGGGGTGGGGGGACGTAGAGGCAGGAATGAGAGGCTTGGGCATTGGTTTGTCGCCAGGCCGAGGACAACTTGGCGGGGCCAAGAGCCCCAAGGACGCAAGCTGATGGCCCAGGTCAGCAGGAGGTGAGGATCCCCTCTGGTCGGAGCTCCGGGTTCCCTTCACAGGGCTGGTTGCTGCCCACCAAGCCTATTCCCCTTGGGACTCCAGGCTCAGGTACCATTCCTGATGTGACCCCACCACCACCACCACCACCACCACCTCCTTTTTCAAGGCCAAAGCCTTGGGAATTACAGGTTTCCGGATAGAGACTTTGGTGAAATTGGCCAATGAAAGTAGCTTATTTCAGTCATCTCTGATAAGGTGTGAAATAAAGACATCGATGGTTGAGTGAGTTTGTGTGGGGGTGGAAAGAGTGGTGGGGCTGGGGGGGGCAAAAGGGGGGACGAATTCAGCCACATTCCAGAGCTGTCATTTCCATACACCTTTGAGGAGCATGCTGGGAAAGGTTTCCTTTCAGCACCCTTACTCAATCCCCAGTATATCTTCGTAGGGGTCAGAAGTGAGGGTGACCCCGCAGTGAGGAGAATACAAAGAGCAAAGGAAATTATTTTAGAGGTCTGATTCGTAGCTGCGGGGAAAGATCACAGTCCGATGGTGCAGACTTGGAAGGGGCCAGCCAAGAAGAGGGAGACCGCTTTTCTTGTAGAAGCTTGCTAGAGGAGGAGCTGAAAGACGCGAGAAAGGCAGGGCTGGAGCCAAGCTCTGGGCCACTCAGCCGTGGCAAATTCAAACACACAAAGGAGGGGGTGCTAAATTAACGGCTCTTTTTACATAGAGCCCAAATAAAACTGTAATCAGCGGCGCGTTACTTTTCATTAAGTGAGTGTGACAGCAGCATATTCAGACTCGACAAGGGAACAGGCGCGGGAAATATACGGCTCTCCCGGCCAGCCGAGTCCCAGATAATTCCTTAAGCTCCATTAACAACTCTTAGCCGCAGGAAATGGGCTCCCGGAAACCGTCTCCAAATCTAAAAGCTTTATCGACCCCTCAAACCGCGGCTGATGGTTCCATTTTTTTTTTTTTGCTTTTCGTGTTTTTTCTTTTATTTTCTTTTATTTTTTTAAGGGAGAGCCGTCCAGTAAGACTTTGATACGACACCTTCTTAACTAGAGAGTGAGGCAGGAGAAGCCAGCCCTTAAATGATATTTAAAAGGCAACCAATTAAGATTTAAAGTGGTCGTCTCTTGAGATTATGCATGCAATTTATGCCACCTCCTTATTCCTGGGCATGCTGGCAGACCCCAGCTGCTGTAACAGCCCACGTCCCTCTCTCCTCTCTCTGAAGATTAACAAAGAGGGTGACAGATAAGAGAGAAACCATGAAGTTTTTCAATACCCCATTCATTCCCCATGTAAGTAAGAATCCTTCCAGTTGGCTATTGGATGGGCAAACAGCTCCCACAGCAGATATAGAAGTAGCTGATTAAAGAGAAATTCAAACCCAACACTCTCCAGAGCCATCTAGGTGGCTTCAGTGCCCAATCAATGGGTGGTCTCTCCCACAGGGTGTGGTAATCCAGGCTCTATACACTGGTTCAAGGAAAAATGGTTAATACCAGCAAGGAAGCTGTGAACGGGGGAATGTTAGATAGTCCTCCTCACCCTCTTTCAGCTCATCTTCTCTGCAAAATCACCAGGAGAATTTTTTCTTCTCCTGAGGGCAACTCTGAATCAGGCTTTGCCTTTTGTCATGCACATACTAGGCACCAGCCTTGCAGTATGCTAGCCTGAGCATCTATTGGCACGGGTGCCACTAAGCTGAAGGAACGGAAAAGCTACTCACCCAGGTTCGCAAAGAAGACAGATGGGATTGTTCAAGCTCTCTGGCCCTTCTATTTGACCCCAGTTACAGGGCCCCTTTGGAAGGGACCCTGAGCAATGGGGCCTCCTGGGAAGGGAGAGCCTTTTCTCCCCCTAGGGAGCAAAGGAGAAAGAGAAAGGAAAAAGAAAGGGGAACCACCTGCCAACCTTTTAGACATTTGTTTTATGAAGCAGTACTTGTGGGGAAAAAAAAATAAAAAATAACAATTATTCTGGTACAAGAGGACTGTGACATTTGGGGTGAGGACCACCACACATTCACTCTCCAGGGGACCCTGAGAAGGCCCTGGAAAAGAATGAGGTGAGTGTCTCCAGAATGTTCTCACAAGTGTTAGTTCCACCCACTTGGGAACTTAAACAAATGTGAATCCCATCTCATTAGTCCAGCTTCCCGGGGGACTCAAAAGCATAGAGTGGGATAAAGGGTGCAGATGCTTGGTTATGACCTAATGACTTGAAAGGACCCCACCAATATGCAGAAAGGCACCCACTGTTCAAAGCAAGAATCAGAAAACCCGAGGCAGTGACTGAGAACTTCCATCTCTCATTGACTTACATTTAAGTGACCTGGCTTCACAGAAAGGAGCTGACATTCCTTTATAGCCACCACTGCTTTTTACGTGTCTATAGCTATAGACTGAGCAGAATTTGCCATGTGACTTAAAAGCTCTATTTTCCAATGAAGATGATAATAATAGTCATTGAAGTAGGACCAGAAGGGTTAACAAGTTGCCATAGAGCCATTTCTGACGCATGGCCGTTTCAAGTGTGTCAGAGTGGAAATGT